TTTTTTGGTATAAGTTTTTGGTTAGCATGTGGATCTGCATTAGCAACATTTATTGGTTTATTATTATCATATTGTGTTTGTTGTACACTTGGTTCATCACGAGCTGATGATAAAGAATATGAAATAATGCAAATGCATAATTATTAAAAACGATAAAAAAAAAAGCAGAAAAAACAAAGATTTTTTTATTGTCTATTTGTTGATGTTGTTTTTTGTTATGTAGAATAGTGTGAGAAAAATATTTGTTCTTACTCTTTTATTATGATATCATTTTGTATCGAAGCTCAACTTCAAAGCGTTTTTCTTTTTCTTTTTTGTTCTCTATTGCTCTAGTCATGTATATGTGGGGTTTTTTTGTTGTGTATGCCTCTATCCGTTTATCATGTATTCTATGTATAAATTTATTACTTCTACTTTATATAAACAATTAGCGATTAAAACCAAAAACAATTTTTTATGTCCATACTATCAAAAAAAAATAAAATTCTTGCTTTTTTTGTCATGTATATTGAATAGGTTTAGACATTGTAAATACGTAAATGTAATGATACAAGTATGTAATGGAGATTTTTACAATTCACGATAGTTACCTTGCAGAGTATTTGTCTAAACTGTAATAAATATAATTATTTTGATGAATTTTTTAGAAGGCCAAAAGTGAGATGTGTTGAATAGAAACAGTAACTGAATTCTAATGAAAAAATGAGTTCAAAATAATTATTAAATATTTCCATAAACGGCGCGACCGGAGGGCACGGGGGATTACGCCCCTGTTCCGAAAAATTTTGACTAGGACTTTCTTCGGATTTGAAAACTTTGGTAGGTCAATTTTCTTCAATTTTGGAGAAATATATTAGACAAATTTATCTGAGTTTGGAGAAGACCCAAGTTTAGTGGAAACTACTAGACAATCTTCTCTAATTGTTGAGATTTTTTTGAACGACAGTGATTAACTTCAGCTCGAAAAAGACCAAGACATCAATAAAGACAACAGGAGATTTTCTGACTCTTTCATTAACGAAGTTTTCAAATAAGATCTAGACAAGAAACACTCTTCAGAATCAAGCCTTTTGAGTTTTTAAAAATTCACTCAATTTTAGTAGAAAATATTTAGGATATATCATATGCGATGACCATGATGCTATAATACTGTAAAAGAAATACTAAGACAATTTGCTTCTTTATATACTCATAGCACAAATAGCGATCTATATTTATGCAATATTTCATCATTATTCAAATGATATCAAAATACTTTGAATCGTAAAGATCATATTTAATAAGACAATGGATTTGTTTGATAGTTTCAATTATTTTTCCGATTACCAGTCTGTCAGATCGTACATCATCTTCAAACTCTTCTCGATCTTTATGAAACCATTTTGACCATCTTTCAATTTTCCTAAATGATGGAATCAGACGGTACAAAAACAGAATATAGTTCATTAAAAGTAACTTGTACTTGAATATAAAGTCCAATACGAATTTTTATGTAAAAAAAAAACAAGAATTTTTCTTATTCATTCAAAACAGAGTTGAATAGGTTCATCGAAATTTGATGCTTTTGATATCAAATAAAGAACAATGAAATATTGAAGAAATATAGAAGAGTGTTTATATTATTAGAACATAAAGGAAGAAATTTTCTTGAAGCTTTCTCTGTGATATTCTTGTGCGATCGTCAGTACTTTAGTTAGATCCTAAGTGCGAATGTCAACACTAGAAATGCCAAAAGTGAAAAATGTTGACAGAAAAAATATTACAAGCTTCAATAGATATATCTGCATATTTCTTTACTAAACAAATTAAACCAATAAGCGAGTGAAGTTAGACCAATTTTTATTTATTTCGAAAAAAAGAATCAGAGACAAGTAAAAAGAAATCTTGAGCATAAGAGTATTCATTCAACTCTACCTTCACATTGACATTCTCTCATTGTCAATTAAATATTCCATTACAATCATAATGTATCAAAGAATAATTTTCAAACTCATTCTCATGAAGAAATGATGGCTGCTGATCATTAATAGTATAGTTTTCACAGTATTATTAGTTATAAAAAAAATGAATAGATAACTAATGTTTCTTCAAGATAAAAAGAATAATTTTTGATTAAGTCTAAAAATGTGAAAAACAACATGCTGAATCATAGAATTAACGACTAAAAATAC